ATAACAAAAACCCTATAAGTTTACAAATACACCCTAACGAATTTTAATTATTCATTCATTTGTGTCCAATGTAACTCATAACCTGTAATCTCTAAGCAACACTTGAATTGTTAATCATTTATTAAGTATTGTAATATTGTTTATAAAAATGTTATAATTAATTAAATAATCATACCATAAATTTATAATATAATGTTATAATAATTGGATTAAGTATTGTGTAAATTAGTAATACTAATGTTTATAATATAATGTCATAATCAATTAAGTAATCATTTATTATGTAATGTTATATTAATTATTGATTATACTATAATTATAATGTAATGTTATAATGAATTATAATCAACTATAAATCTATAATTTAATATTATAATTAATTAAATTTCAATCATTTAATTAATACTAATGTTTAATGGAACATTATAATTGATTAAGTAATCATATTACAATATATAAAGTAATGTTATAATTAATTAAATTTTTAATCGTTTAATTAGTAATATAATAGTATAGTAAATACTAATGTTTATAATGTAATGTTATAAATTCATCATAATTAAGTAATTATGTAATCATTTAATTATCTAATGCTATAATTAGTAATGATCAATATAAAGTAATATAATAATGTTATAATTAATTGAGTAATTATTTAACTAAGTATATTAATTAATATTTATAATGAAATTTTATAAGTATGTTATAATTAATTAAATTTCTTATAATTTAATTAAGTATTGTGCTAATGTTGATGAGTAAATTAGTAATTACTAATGTTTAAACATAATATCATAACTCTAATCAATTAAGTAATCATTTAATTATATTTATTAATTATATGATCATACTATAATAGTATAATGTAATGTTATAATGAATTAAGTATCATACTATAAATCTATAATTATATTAAATTAATAAATTTCAAATCATTTGATTAATATACTAATGTTTATAATGGAATGTTATATTGATTAAGTAATATTAATATATAAGGTAATGTTATAATAATTAAATTTTTAATTGTTTATTAAGTAATGTAATAATATAGTAAATTAATAATTACTAATGTTTATAATGTATGTTATAAACTCATAACTAATTATATAATAGTAATCATTTAACTATGTAATGCTATATTAAGTAGTGATCATAATATATAATGTAATATATAATATTATATTTAATTGAGTATTATTAACTATAATAAATGCTTAATTAATGTTTTAAAGTAATGTTATAATAATTAAATTCTTATCATTTAATTAATAGTGTGCTAATGTTTATGTAGAATTAGTAATTACTAATGTTTAAAACATAATATCATAACTCATAATCAATCAAGTAATCATTTAATTATGTAATTTATATTATTATATGATCATATTATAATAGTATAATGTAATGTTATAAATGATTAAGTAATCATACTATAAATCCATAATTTAATATTAATATTATTTCAAATCATTTGTTAATATAATAATGTTATAATGGAATGTTTAATTGATTAAGTAATCATATATAAATATAAGGTAATATTATAATTAATTAAATTTTTAATCGTTTAATTAAGTAAGTAAATATAGTAAATCAGTAAATACTAATGTTTATAAGGTATGTTATAATTCATAACTAATTATGTAATTATGTAATCATTTACTATGTAATCTATAATTAAGTAAGTGATCATAATATATATATAATATAATAATTTATATTTAATTGAGCAATTATTAACTATAATGTAATGCTTAATTAATGTTTATAAGGTAATGTTATATTAATTAAATTTCTTACATTTAATTAAGTATTGTGCTAATGTTTATGAAGTAAATTGTAATTACTAATGTTTAACATAATATCATAACTTATAATCAATTAAGTAATCATTTAAATTGTAATGTTATATTAATTATAGATCATACTATATAGTATAATGTAAGTTATAATGAATTAGTAATCATACTATAAATCTTTAATTTAATATTATAATTAATTAATTTTTAATCGTTTAATAAGTATGTATAATAGTAATATATTACTAATGTTTATAATGTAATGTTATAAATTCATAACTAATTATGTAATTAGTAATCATTTAACTATGTAATGCTATAATTAAATAAGTGATCATAATATATAATGTAATATAATAAATTATAATTAATTGAGTAATTATTTAACTATATGTAATGCTTATTAATTTTATAAGGTAATGTTTATTAATAAATTTCTTATCATTAATTAAGTATTGTGCTAATGTTTATGAAGTAATTAGTAATTACTAATGTTTAAACATATAATCATAACTATAATCAATTAAGTAATCATTAATTATGTTGTTATATATTATGATCATACTATAATAGTATAATGTAATGTTATAATGAATTAAGTATCATACATAAATCTTTAATTTAATATTAAATTATTAAATTTCAAATCATTTGATTAATATACTAATGTTTATAATGGAATGTTATAATTGATTAAGCATTATATTATAATATATAAGGTAATGTTATAATTAATTAAATTTTTAATCGTTTAATTAAGTAATGTAATAATATAGTAAATTACTAATGTTATAAATGTAATATTATATTCATAATTAATTAAGTATTATGTAATCATTTAACATGTAATGCTATAATTAAGTAAGTGATCATATATATATATAATATAATAATATTATAATTTAATTGAGTATATATTAACTATAATGTAATGTTATTAATGTTTATAATGAAATGTTTAATAGGTAATGTTATAATTAATTAAATTTCTTATCATTTAATTAAGTATTGTACTAATGTTTATGTAATAAATTAGTAATTACTAATGTTTAAACATAATATCATAACTCATAATCAATTAAGTAATCATTTAATTATGCAATGTTATATTAATTATATGATCATACTATAATAGTATATGTAAGGTTATAATGAAATGTTTAAAAGGTAATGTTATGATAATTAATTTCTTATCATTTAATTATGTATATGCTAATTTTATATAGTATTATATTACTAATATTTATAATATAATGACATAATCAATTAAGTAATTATTTAATTATGTAATGTTATAATTAATTATCTAATCATACTATAATGTATGTTATAGTGAATAACTATTAAGTAATCATACTATAATTTTTAATGTAATATTATAATTAATTAAATTTTTAATCATTTAATTAAGTTTATACTATGTTTTAAATAATGTTGTAATTGATTAAGTAATTATACTATAATCTATAACGTAATGCTAATTAATTAAATTTCTAATATAAGTCAATTAATTAACTATTTAATTTATGTTATAACTTATAATTAATTAATTAAGTAGTAATCAATTAATATAATCTATAATAATCATACTATAAATCAATTAAGTAATGTTATAAATTATAATTAATTAAGTAATCATTTAACTATAATTAATGTTAAATTGATAAGTATGATATTTAACTAGTATAAATTTATTAATGTTTATCAATTTACTATATAATTAATTAATTATTTATTATAGATGTACTTAGAACTTGATAATGAAGTAAATAACTAAATATATTATTACTCAATCAAATATCTATTTTATTCAAAAATAATTCTTTTAATAACGTTAAAAATGTAAAACACTTTTAATTGGATCATAATTTCAATTATTCACTTAATTGATCAAAACTTTAATTAATGTTTTAATATATTAAAGCTTTTAATATGGTATAATTTATATGTAATAAGTATAATTGTATTCATATATTTATTTAATTAGGTTTTCTAAAAATTTAACTTTTTCTATTTTAAATTTTTTTATATTAAAATAATAGAAACTCCCCCATTATTTACATTTCACAAATATTTATTATAGTCCAGGTTCCAAAATAGGTTCTAAACAGGTTCTAAAAACAGGTTCCAAAACAGGTTCCAAACAGGTTCCAAAGCAGATCCAAATAGGTTCCAAAGCAGGTTCCAAACAGGTTCCAAAGCAGGTTCCAAATAGGTTCCAAAACAGGTTCCAAAACAGTTTCCAAACAGTTCCAAAACAGGTTCTAAACTGGGTACCCCCTACAGGTTCCAACAGGGTACCCTTTTTACAGGTCTGTCCGATTCCGATTCCTGCACATGCAAGAACCGGAACCGGAACCGCACAGTAGCGGTTCCAAAATGGAAACCGAAACCTACCTGCCAGTGCAGGTTCTGGTGGTAGGTTCTGGTTCTTACCCCCGGTTTCGGTTCTACCCGCTACCCGAGCTCACCCTAGAAGTAAGTATTTTTCCTATTTTTTCAGGGAAATGATGCATTAAAATAAAAAGAAAAACAAAAAATCTTCGCTAGAGTGTGGGTTAAAGTTTACTTGAAAATTTTCTAAGGGCACCTAATGAGATTGAAAGTGCTTTCTGGCAGCCATAAAGCAAAAATCAATTGCAACTGAGTTCTTCAGATACTTTCAAAGAAATTAATCCATTATCACAACTAGCTAATAGCATAATCATCTTCTGTTTACTTGAGAAAATATTTCAAACCTTTGTGTTTAAGATTTGATTATATTCTTCTTACTTTATTAGAGATCCTATCCCAGCTAAATTAGTAGGTAATTTAAAGTAATTAAGATTAATTAATTTTTTATGTGAGAAGTCATTTCTGTGGTATTAATTGCTTGACACTTTTTTTTTTTTTTTCTTGAAAAATATAATTGAGAAATTCTGTCTACTTACTAACAGAAATATAACTTGTTTACCAACAAATACGGTCATCACAATAAAGTGAAATTTTTTTGGATAACCATCTTTCTACCATAGTAAAAGATTGAGGATAATACATTTATTGCTGATGTAATGAGTAAAAACTTTTCCACCCTAGATGCAATGGAGCGCAGGGTGCTTGACCTGATCCTGTCAACGAATATGACAAACGGCTAGCCGACCTTATCACTGTTAATTATAATTCTCTGGACGCCTAGATTTTGTGCAGGTTGGCTGGAGCCTTCGGTGCCTGGTGCTGGTACGGGTTGTGGATAAACTTCGCAACTTTTAAAGGGGCAAAGGCGGCAGGCGCAGGCAGGCACCGAACCCATTTGGGGACCTTCCAATATCTGCAAAGAAATTGCACCAAAGGAGAGTCAGAGCCGTATCTGATATCTATCCTTTTCCTATTAATTTATGCAACAGCTAGCCAGCTGTTTCCAACTTTGCTCTAATTCACCCAGTCTGAAACGGCAAGAAACCTTCCAAAATCACCTCTCTTATTCACTTCCTTTTTGTCCATTCCCTCTTCACATAGTCCTATATATTCCTTCCATGCATGCACAGTTGAGACACCAGAAATCTTCACTTTTAAAAGAAACAAAAATGGGATCTCTTTCTTTAATAGTTTTGCTTGGATCTTTAATGGTTGTTTCTGCCGGGAATTTTAACCGGGATTTTGAAATCACATGGGGAGATGGTCGTGGTAAAATACTCAACAACGATGAGCTTCTTACTCTGTCCCTGGACTATTATTCTGGCTCAGGATTTCAGTCCAGGAATGAGTATTTATTCGGCAAGATTGATATGCAGATCAAGCTTGTCGTTGGAAATTCTGCTGGCACTGTCACTGCTTACTATGTAAGTTCATCTCTTTCAGAATTTTGTTGGTAATTTTGTTTGTTTCAGGATACGTGTAATTCATGCGTATGTTTTTGCTAACACTTGTTGTTTCAGGATACGTGTAATTCATGCATATGTTTTTGCTAATACTTGTTGTTTCAGGATACGTGTAATTCATGCATATGTTTTTGCTAATACTTGTTGTTTCAGTTACGCTCAAAAGGAGCAGCATGGGATGAAATAGACTTTGAATTCTTAGGAAACCTGAGCGGTGAACCTTACACTGTTCACACCAACGTTTATAGCCAAGGCAAAGGTGACAGAGAGCAACAGTTTCACCTCTGGTTCGATCCCACTCACGATTTTCACACCTATTCCGTCCTCTGGAATCCCCGACGCATCATGTAAATTAATTAACTTCCATAGTTTAATTCTATACAAACTGACGTGACATAAATTTCATTATGCAAATGATACTTCAATAAAAGAATAAAGGGATAAATTTTACTGACTTTTTCTATTGTTTTACTTTGCCGCATTTCAGTTTCTCTGTCGACGGCACTCCAATTAGAGAGTTCAAAAACCTGGAGAGCATTGGCGTTCCGTTTCTGAAAAACCAACCGATGAGGATACAGTCGAGTCTCTGGAACGCGGACGACTGGGCTACAAGAGGCGGACTTATCAAGACAGACTGGAGCCAGGCTCCTTTCACGGCCTCTTACAGGAACTTCAATGCGGAGGCTTGTGTTTGGTCCTACGGAAAATCTTCTTGCAGTTCAAGCTCGCCTCCTAGAAGTAATTGGTTCACTCAAGCGTTGGATTCCGCCGGCCACCAAAAACTCAAATGGGTTCAAAACAACCACATGATTTACAATTACTGCGCTGACACAAAGCGATTCCCCCAGGGCCTTCCCAAAGAATGCTCAGTTAATTAACGTTTTAAACTATTCGATACATAAAGTTTTATAAGAAACTACAGCTGCTTTTGTTTTACTGCAGGATGTTTTATACCAAATATGTTTAATATTTCTAGAAAAAATATTTAGTTAAATAGCTATCTAATTTGTTGTGTTAATTGAGTTCTTAGCAGTTTTGTATATTTTGAAGAATTTTAAAACATTTTCAATCTAGTTTAGGTGGATTTTATACATATTATAAATCAATTCAGATTAATCGACAAGTTTCGTTAGGTTAATATGATGAAATATAATGATAACGTCTCAATCTCATTCTATTACTTGAAGTAAGTAGGGGTGAGCGGTTCCGGGTACCCTGCATTTTCCGGAGGAATCGAAACCGCACAGTACAGGTTCCCAAAAAAAGGAACCGGAACCGGAACCGCACAATGCAGGTTCTTCAATTCAAGGAACCGGAACCTAAAATGCAGTTTCCTTTAATTTCCAGGGTATCCTATAAAAAATCAATACCCCCCTATTGTTAAAAAATAACAAAAACACTTATAAGTTTACAATACACCCTAACGAATTTTAATTATTCATTCATTTGTGTCCAATGTAACTCATAACCTGTAATCTCTAAGCAACACTGAATTGTTAATCATTTAATTAAGTATTGTAATATTGTTTATAAAGATGTTATAATTAATTAAATAATCATACCATAAATTTATAATATAATGTTTTAATATTGATTAAGTATTGTGTAAATTAGTAAATTACTAATGTTTAAATATAATGTCATAATCAATTAAGTACATTTATTATGTAATGTTATTAATTATGATTATACTATATAGTATAATGTAATGTTATAATGATTAAGTATCATACTATATCTATAATTTAATATTATATTAATTAAATTTCAAATCATTTATTATTACTAATGTTTATAATGGAACATTATAATTGATTAAGTATCATTTACAAATATATAAAGTAATGTTATAATATAAATTTTTAATCGTTAATAAGTATATAATAGTATAGTTTACTATGTTTAAATGTAATGTTATAAATTCACTAATTAAGTAATTATGTAATCATTTATTATATAATGCTATATATTAAGTAAGGATCAATATAGGTAATATATAATGTTATAATTAATTGAGTAATTATTTAACTATATGTAATAATTAATTAATATTATAATGAAATGTTATAAGGTATGTTATATTAATTAAATTTCTATAATTTAATTAAGTTGTGCAATGTTGATGAAGTAATTAGTAATTACTAATGTTTAAAACATAATATCATAACTCATAATCAATTAAGTAATCATTTAATTATGTATGTTATTTAATTAATGATCATACTATAATAGTATAATGTAATGTTATAATGAATTAAGTACTACTATAAATCTATAATTTATATATAATTAATTAAATTTCAAATCATTTGATATATACTATGTTTAATGGATGTTATAATTGATTAAGTAATCTATTATAAATATATAAGGTAATGTTTATAATTAAATTTTAATTGTTTAATTAAGTAATGTAAATATAGTAAATTAATAATTACTAATGTTTATAATGTAATGTTTATAAACTCATACTAATTATTAATTATGTAATCATTTAACTATGTAATGCTATAATTAAGTAATGATCATAATATATATGTATATAATAATATTATAATTAATTGAGTAATTATTTAACTATAATATAATGCTTAATTAATGTTTAAAGTAATGTTATAATTAAATTTCTTATCATTTAATTAAATGTGTGCTAATGTTTATGTAGTAAATTAGAATTACTAATGTTTAAACATAATCATAACTCAAATCAATCAGTAATCATTTAATTTAGTAATGTTATATTAATAATGATCATATTATATAGTATAATGTAATGTTTAATGAATTAAGTATCTCCTATAATCCTAATTAATATTATAATTAATTAAATTTCAATCATTTTATTAATAATAATGTTATTGGAATGTTATAATTGATTAAGTAATCATATTAAATATATAAGGTAATATTATAATTAATTAAATTTTTAATCGTTTATTAAGTAATGTAATAATATAGTAATCAGTAAATTAATGTTTATATGTAATGTTATAAATTCATAACTATTATTTAGTATTTAATCATTTAACTAGTAATGCTATAATTAGTAGTGTCATAAAATATAATATAATAATATTAATTAATTTAATTGAGCATTTTTATACGATAATGTGCTTAATTAATGTTTATAAGGTAATGTATAATTAATTAAATTTCTTATCATTTAATTAAGTATTGTGTCAATGTTTATGAAGTAAATTAGTAATTACTAATGTTAAACATAATATCATAACTATAATCAATTAAGTATCATTTAATTATGTAATGTTAATTAATTATATTATCATACTATAATAGTATAATGTAATGTTATAATGAATTAAGTAATCATACTATAATCTTTAATTTAATATTATAATTAATTAAATTTTTAATCGTTTAATTAAGTATGTATAATATAGTAAATTAGTAAATTACATGTTTTATAATGTAATGTTATAAATTCATAACTAATTATGTATTATGTAATCATTTAACTATGTAATGCTATAATTAAATAATGTGATCATAAATATAATGTATATAATATATTTAATTTAATTAGTAATTATTTAACTATAATGTAATGCTTAATTAATGTTTATAAGGTAATGTTATAATTAATTAATTTCTTATCATTTAATTAAGTATTGTGCTAATGTTATGAAGTAATTAGTAATTACTAATGTTTAAACATATATCATAACTTATAATCAATTAAGTAATCATTTTTATGTAATGTTATATTATTATATGATCATACTATAATAGATATGTAATGTTATATAAATTAAGTAATCATACTTAAATCTTTATTTAATATATAATTTTAAATTTCAAATCTTTGATTATATCTAATGTTTATAATGGAATTTTTAATTGATTAGCAATTATATAATAATAATAGGTAAGGTTATAATTATTAATTTTTAATCGTTTAATTAAGTAATGTAATAATAGTAAATTACTAATGTTTATAATTGTATTTATAAATTCATAATTAATTAAGTATTATTAATCATTTACTATGTAATGCTATAATTAGTAAGTGATCATAATATAATTAATATAATATATTATAATTTAATTGAGTAATTATTTAACTATAATGTAATGTTTAATTAATGTTTATAATGAAATGTTTATAAGGTAATGTTATAATTAATTAAATTCTTATCATTTATTAGTATTGTACTAATGTTTATGTAATAAATTAGTAATTACTAATGTTTAAAACATAATATCATTCAATCAATTAAGTAATCATTATAATATGCAATGTTATATTAATTATATGATCTACTAATAATTATATTAATGTTATAATGAAATGTTTAAGGTATGTTATGATTAATTAATTTCTTATCATTTAATATGTATTATGCAATGTTATATAGTAAATTAGTAATTACTAATATTTATAATATAATGACATAATCAATTAATAATTATTTAATTATGTAATGTTATAATTAATTATCTTCATACTAAATGTAATGTTATAGTGATTACTATTAAGTAATCTACTATAAATTTTTATGTAATATTATAATTATTAATTTTTAATCATTTAATTAGTTTATACTAATGTTTATAATAAAATGTTGTAATTGATTATAATTATACTATAAATCTAACGTAATGCTAATTATTAATTTCTAATTTAAGTCAATTAATTAACTATTATTATGTTTAACTATAAGTTAATTATTAGTAGTAACAATTAATATAATGCTATAATTAATCATACTATAAATCAATTAAGTAATGTTATAAAATATAATTAATATAATATCATTTAACTATAATGTAATGTATAATTGATTAAGTATGATATTTACTAGTATTAAATTATTAATGTTTATCAATTATAATATAATTAATTAATTACAATTTATTATAATGTACTTAGAACTTGATATTGAAGTAAATACTAAATATTATACTCAATCAATATACTATTTTATTCAAAAATATTCTTTAATAACGTAAAAATGTAAAACACTTTTAATTGGATCATATTTCAATTATTCACTTAATTGATCAAAACTTTAATATTAATGTTTATAATATTATTAAAGCTTTAATATGGTATAATTTTATGTATTATAATTGTATTCATATATTTATTTAATTAGTTTATTCTAAAATTTAACTTTTTCTATTTTAAATTTTTTTATATGTTATAATAAACTCCCCCATTATTTACATTTCACAATATTCATTATAGTCCAGGTTCCAAAATAGGTTCTAACAGGTTCTAACAGCGTTCCAAAACAGGTTCCAAACAGGTTCCAAAGCAGATTCCAAATAGTTTCCAAAGCGGTTCCAAACAGGTTCCAAGCAGGTTCCAAATAGGTTCCAAAACAGTGCCAAAACGTTTCCAAACAGGTTCCAAAACAGGTTCTAAACTGGGTACCCCCTACAGGTTCCAACAGGGTACCCTTTTTACAGGTTCCGGTTCCGATTCCGATTCCTGCACATGCAAGAACCGGAACCGGAACCGCACAGTACGGTTCCAAAAATTGAAACCGAACCTACCTGCACAGTGCAGTTTCTGGGTAGGTTCTGTTTCTTACCCCGGTTTCGTTTCTACCCGCTACCCGAGCTCACCACTAAGTAAGTTTTTTCCTATTTTTTCAGGGAAATGATGCATTATAAAAAGAGAAAACAAAAATCTTCGCTAAGAGGTGGGTTAGAAAGTTTACTTGAAAATTTTCTAAGGGCACCTAATGAGATTTGAAAGTGCTTTCTGGCAGCCATAAATGCAAAAATCAATTGCAACTGAGTTCTTCAGATACTTCAAGAAATTAATCCATTATACCAACTAGCTAATAGCTATAATCATCTCTGTTTACTTGAGAAAATATTTCAACCTTTGTGTTTAAGATTTGATTATATTTTCTTCTGACATTTATTGAGATCCTATCCCAGCTAAATTAGTAGGTAATTTAAAGTATTAAGATTAATTAATTTTTTATGTGAGAAGTCATTTCTGTGGTTTAATTGCTTGACACTTTTTTTTTTTTTTTCTGAAAAAGAATATTG